TTTATTGCAAATTGGAGTATTTACTTTCAATCAATTATTTCTTTGGTAATCAACTTGATGAAAGTAAACACTATGAATTATAGCAAACTTGTTAATAAAGGAATTGTTAAAGTTGTCACAAAAAGATGTGTAGAAACATCGTTGAATTACGTTGGAGCGTCTTGTGTGAATGTAATAGTTGAAAATTTCAATCTTTTTCCTTCTGAAACACTGCATTGTGTTGCAGAGTATTATTGCAACATATTCAACGAGTTTTTCTTTGACAGTGAGATGAATGTGAAAACACTCGAAAAGGTCTTTTACCAAGACCGAATGTTGATTACCAAATTTGCTGTTTATTTGCCGAAAATGACTGAAATTTATTCGAAAGAGAGTGAACAAGTGAAGAGACGTGTGCTTCGATTGGTCTCTGTGATGTCTTCTGGTACCGATGAAATTGACAAGAAAATTGTCGAGTCTGATATTCTCAAGCTTTTAGTGATGGATTTGAGTAACAATTATTACTTCAATGATGATATAAGTCAACAACGTATTATTTTAATGCTTACAAACGTAATAACATGTGAAACGGAAATAATTGACAAAGTGGTTGAAAGTGGTGTCATTAAAATCTTACTTAAAATACAATTAAAAACACAAATGAGTGATATTTTCTTTATTATTGCGATGACACTTTCAAAGAGTATAATACTCCGAAATGAAGCGAAGGAAGAAGTGTTAGAAATGATCCAATTCGTCCAAAGAAGTTTGTACATTATTGATCGTAGATGTATCAACAACAAAATTGTAAATCTTTTGATTGATGCGTTAGAAAACAATTTCAAAAAATATGAAAGAGATGCTGCATTCAAAAATGTTGTAAACGGTGTTTTGGTTCAATTAAAACAGCCATATTTTTTTAATGATATAAATATCTTAAACAATTGAAGTATTTTGTTTATTTACAAATCGAGTATTCATGAAGTGCCAGAATTATTGCGAGAAATGATATGAGTTTAGCACCCTTTTTCTTATCAATTTTTATCTAAAAAACAAATACCTTTTGAATGTGTTCTAAAAAAATCACAATTATTTTTTTATACAAGTTTTAATTCATCCAATTGATTATTACATTTTTTGAAATTTTATCATATACGTTTTATAAAATTGATTTTTATTACTTTTGTTTAACTATCATCATTATAATACATTGTCATTTCTTGTTGAAAAATTCTTTGATTTAACAAAAATATGTTTTTTTGTTTTTTTTTTCCATTTTGAATATTCAAATGAATGACTCATCATCAACAATACTGTAAAATATCCCAAGACAAGTACCTACCTAAAGTGGGAATATTTTTGAAGTGGTCATTTTTAGCCAATCAAACTTTAAAAACAGCTCTACAGAGAAATGAAGGTTTATTGTATTTTATTCTAAAAAATCGAGATTCTTATTTCTGTTTTTGGTAAATACATTCTGAACAAAAACAAAATAAAAATGATTACAAAATGTCAAAAAATGCAATTTTGTTTTAAAGAAAAAATGGTTATCAACAAAAATTTTGTCAAAAAATATGATCGAAATTAATATAAAATAAATTAAAACTAAACAATTATATAAATACCTAATACACGAACCATTTCAGGAAGTAACTTATTTAAATTTTATTTTAACACATATTACGAAATTTTTAATTGATCAAAATCTATTTCCATAAGATTTTTTTTCTGCCACATAATATAATATAATATAATATAATATAATATAATATAATATAATATAATATAATATAATATAATATTATAATTATAACAACTAGAATTGCCCAATTCTGAATCTAAAGAAAATGGTGTTGACATTGAAAATCAACATCACCACAAAAATTTAAATATCAGAGGAGTTTTTCTGCATGTGATGTGCGACGCAATTGGAAGTGTCGTGGCCGTAATAGTTGCACTTGGGGTGTTGCTTATTGATGGAGATTGGAAATATTACTTGGACCCATCACTCTCACTTGTTGTTGCTTGTGTTGTGATGACATCGGGAATGCCGTTAGTCAAATCGTGCGCCAAAATTTTGATGCAAAGCGCCCCACACGACTTTTCAATTGAAAAAATCCAAAACGAAATTGCATCAATCAAAGGAATTGCACAAATACAGGAAGTCCACGTTTGGCAACTTGCAAACGACAACGAAGTTGCAACGGCAAACATTGAAATTAAAAAGGAAAACAAAGATGATGTGTTTGAAATCGTCCAAAACGTTAAACACGTCTTTAAACACCACCACATGAATTATGTCACCGTCCAGCCTGAAATTAAAAGTAAATGAATTTATGGTGTTTTATTTAGGAACAGCTTTTTTCACCGATTTTATACAAATTAAATGTTTGCCACAATTCGAAAGAAGTTATCCCTTTAGCTATTGGTTGTGCACAAATTTTACACAATTTCCTTGTCCATATTATGTCGAAATTGATGTGGTTAAATCACTTAAAGAAATCATACAAAGTCGGTTGAATGATTTTCTTTTTCATTTTTTTTCCCATAAATCAATTTGTTTTTTAATCCAATTGTATATTTGGAATATATTACAATTGGAAATATCTATCAAATTTCTCTTTAATATACTTTTAATAAAAATATTATTTTAAATAAAAAATTTATTTAATTTTTGGAATTTTAATAAAAAAGTTTTTTTTAATTTATTTGTCAATTTCATGATAATTTAATTATTTAAATGTTTATACCAAAATATATATAAATTAAAGTGATTTATTATATTATATTGTAAATTATAATATAGCAAGAGTGGCCGAGTGGTCCAAGGCGCTCGTTTCAGGTACGAGTCTTTTCGAAGGCGTGGGTTCGAACCCCACCTCTTGCATTTTATACACTTTTGCTCTATATTATTTTTTGAACAATTTTTAATTGATTTAAAATTAGATTGTTTACTTGGAATATGAAAAGGAAAACAAATAAAAACTCCAAAGAGTGAGGCGAACTGAAAGAACTGCCTAACGATATCTTCAACCAAAAACTTTAACCAATTGATATATAAGCAACAAACTTGAAAGAAGAAGACATTCAAATGGGAGAAGAAGGAGCTGAAGTACAAGCACTTGTTGTAGATAATGGATCTGGTATGTGCAAGGCCGGTTTTGCTGGTGATGACGCACCACGAGCTGTCTTCCCATCAATTGTTGGCAGACCAAAACAAGTCTCAGTCATGGCTGGTATGGGCAACAAGGACACCTATGTTGGAGATGAAGCACAATCAAAGAGAGGTATCTTGACTTTGAAATACCCAATTGAGCACGGTATTGTCAACAACTGGGACGACATGGAGAAGATCTGGCACCACACTTTCTACAACGAGCTCAGAATTGCACCAGAAGAGCACCCAGTCCTCTTGACTGAAGCCCCAATGAACCCAAAGGCTAACAGAGAAAAGATGACACAAATCATGTTCGAGACTTTCAACGTCCCAGCTATGTACGTTGGAATTCAGCTGTCCTTTCATTGTACGCCTCTGGTAGAACGACTGGTATTGTCATGGATTCTGGTGACGGTGTCTCTCACTGCGTCCCAATTTATGAAGGATTCTCACTCCCACATGCTATCCTCAGAATTGATCTTGCTGGTCGTGATCTCACAGACTACCTCATGAAGATCTTGACTGAAAGAGGATATTCATTCACCACAACTGCTGAAAGAGAAATTGTCAGAGACATCAAGGAGAAGCTCTGTTACGTTGCTCTCGACTTCAACGAAGAAATGCAAAAGGCTGCCTCATCATCAGAACTCGAGAAGTCGTACGAACTTCCAGATGGTCAAGTCATCACCATCGGCAACGAAAGATTCAGATGCCCAGAAGCACTCTTCCAGCCATCATTCCTTGGTATGGAAGCATCAGGTATCCACGAGACTACTTACAACTCAATCATGAAGTGCGATGTCGATATCAGAAAGGACTTGTACGGAAACATCGTCTTGTCTGGTGGAACATCAATGTACCCAGGCATCAACGACAGACTTGAGAAGGAGATGGTTGCTCTTGCACCACCAACAATGAAGATCAAGGTCATTGCACCACCAGAGAGAAAGTACTCTGTCTGGATTGGAGGCTCAATTCTTGCTTCATTGTCCACTTTCCAGAACATGTGGATCACCAAGGAAGAGTACGACGAGTCTGGACCAGCCATCGTCCACAGAAAGTGCTTCTAATTCATTCACATTTTTTATTTTATTATTTAACACCTTAATGTTTGTTTTATAATATTGTTTTACTCTATATAGTTGATAAATTAATACACAAATAACAAATTTATTAACACCAATATTATGTTAAAAAAGCCAAAATATGTATGAAAAATTTGGTTAAAACGTTCACGTTCATTTTATTTTTTGTTTAATTAAAAATCTTTTAAGTTGAAAACTTTAAGTTTTGCAATTAGTTTTGAAAAAAATTTCTAAAGACATTTTTGCAACAATTTTAGTAATATAACAATAAGACATTATAACAAAAATAACTAAGATTTTTAAATTAATTCATTTCTTTTCTTTTTAAAAATCGAAAGTAAAGTCATTCCCAATGAGTGTGCAATTTTATTTTTTTCTTTGTTTTTTTACTCACTACAAAGGTGAAACTCTTTTTTTCAACAATAACAAAAACAATAACAAAAAGTAGAATTATGTTATAAATCAAAATAAAATAAAACTCGATATTTAAATGATAAGTTTAACTGCTTGTTCTAATAAAAACATTATAAATTCAGAATTCTAATTGTCATACAAAACCAATAAAACGGCGTTGTATATCGATTATGGATAACGCAAATGTTAAACATCTCGTTTATAAAAAAGAAAATAATGAGACAAGCCAATTCGTGTGATTCAAAGACTTTTCTTGCTGCAAAAATTTCTATAAACAGGAGACTGTTGAATGGTGCAACCCAAAAAAATTAATTGAGAATAATTTTGCAACTTTATTGTTTAGTTATAGTATTTTAATTAGAGTAATAGTTTTAAAGATATTTGTTTGTGTTTTCTTGTTTTGTTTCTAAAAAATATATAGAGTACCTGATACAACGTTGTTATTTACTCAAACCTTGTTTTTTTTCGGTCTTATTTGAAGAAGGTTCGACTAAGAATGGAGTATCGGCAATTTTGTTTTTTGTTTACCTCTTTTTTTGTAAACAAATATCTTCGTTCGTAAACATAATAATTTCATAGCTTTTTAAATGTCCTTTTACACAAAAGCAAGAAATAATAATGCAAATAACCCAGTTTTTGGGAAAAAAACAGTCCCAATTTTGAAGAAAAATAAACTCAAAAATAGAAAGGAAGAGGTGAACAAAACCCATTTTCCAACCAAAAACACACAAAAATAAAACTTCAAAAAGAAAATGCTTCCTCCGCATGCTTTTTCGAGACGATTTATTTGTAATATGAGACAAGAAGATTTCGTTGATGCTCTTTGTCCCCAGCAAGATGTCAATGATATTGTTGAAAAAGTTGTTTTTTTACAAAGATCTTTTCGCAATGTACAAGAAGTTGAAAGCAAACAACTTGCTCAATTATTCAATCACCGACATCAAGACATCAATCCGAACCTTTCAATGTGAATATAACTCTCATGTGAACATCTTTGAAGAACTAAAAATGATGACTAAGAACACGAAGAAGGTGATGAACATCAATGAACATATCGTACAGTGCTAACAATACATCAGAACTTCGTCTGTTCCAAGAGTTGGGTTCCAACAGCTTATGTCGATTTTGAGACATGACAACATTCCAATTCTAGGGGAAGTGATAATCGACAGAATACCTCGTGTCGAGGTACCAATGGAAACCGTAGAATCTCCTGTTGAATATTTGGCTGTCGCCAACAACGAAGAAGTTATAGAAGACTTGACCAAGAAAAACATCAATCCCTATCAACGAAAAGTAAACACTGAAGACAATTTCTTTGAATCATCAATATAAATGGCGGAATTCAACGTGTAATTCAACAAAAAGCATATTGTTGACAGAATCACTGACGATGAATTTGACTGCGATGGTCTTTACGGGTATATTTTGGAAGCTGGGTTTGAAGACAAATTTGATGAAATCATAAACAACATCCTGAGATTCCAGAAACTCGAAAGAAACAAAGAGGCGATAAATCGAAGAACTCAAATGTTTAGATTTAGGGAATACATGGGAGCCAAGTGTGGTATTAAGAATGTCAAATTGTTGGAAAGTGTGACTGCATCCATACCAACTTATGCCTGGTCGAGGCAGATGAAGAGGATCGAAGAAAGGCCGGGCAATTCAGTGCGAAGATGTGTCTTTTCTGTAAACGAAAAAGACGCCATCGTCAATTACATCAAAGAAGGTCAAGGATTGAGACTACCTGTGACTTGCGCGCAGTTGATGGTTTATGGTCGGCGAGTTGGAAAGAGTCAAAATTGGTATCAGAAACTTGTATAACTTTGTCAAGAGAGAAGAATGTGTTCAGACTGCTCAAAGAAAGACCATAGAAACGCCTCGTGCCGATGTTCAAGAATCACAGATTAGGATGTACTTCGAAATATTAAAATCCAATGCGACTGGAAGCCCGACTCCTATTATCTTTAACTGCAATGAGTCGAGATTCCAGGAATGGGCCGACAAATCCGAACAACATGCCATTGTCACGTCAAAACATGTAACAGAAACAATTATGTTGGCAGTGGATAAATCAAGGGCGAGGCTTAGCGTGTTAGCGACCGTCTGCATGGATGGGACAACACTCCCTTTGTATTTTATTGTCCCCACTCTGGGGGTCGAGAGAGAACTCCTCGAAGTTAGGATAATGAAACAAAGAGCATCTCTGGGATTATTTGTTTTGTATTAAAATAAATAATCCTATTTTATCGGAAATGAAAACAAACAAAAAATAAACAAGTCCAACATATTATTCCGTTAAATTTCAATAGATTAAATAATGATAAAAATCTATTTGTTTTTAGATTGGTGGGGTTTTAAAAAACTGTAAAAGGGTTTCAAACACTTAAACCAGACATTGGTTTGTTGTTTCACTTCTCTCTTTGTACTTATTATACTCATCGCAAAGAACAAGTTTAATACAGTCAACTCGTTCCCCTCTGTTCACCTCTCTCCTCTGTGCCAACTCAGTTACCATTTCCCACATTCCGCGACCCCAAATACACTGACTCAATTTGAATCCTACCATTTTCTCTTTCTAGTTGGTACTCACCCCTGCTTCTCTCTCTTCTTCAGATTGTTCTTTTGCCGGTGTTTTAATAAAACGATTTGTTTCGACTTGAAACGAAAGATCTTGAATTTAATTTAATTTGAATTTTAAGTTGTTTTAAAATAAAAATTACAAATAACAAAAACATTTTAAAATAACAAAAAAAAGTTTCTTGTTGCTTGAGTTTTTTGAGTTTATGGATTGCTATATTTATGAATCTAAAAAAATAGAAGATTCTTGAATAAACAATGTTCGAGAAAATAACAACGTTATATCAAGTACTTTAATTGTTTTATTATAATTATACTATAAACAAAGTTGCACTGACACGTCAAAGTTGCACGGTTTTAAACATGACTTTACTTCGTAAATAATCATATAACTCACTATTCATTGTTTTGTGTTATTTAGGTGCTCCTCTCCACGACACTTAATATATAGGAAAAACTGTTCCACATAAACGCCTCTTATAGGCATTACACGTTTTTATAATCTCTATCGAACGATACATTTTATCTAGTTTAATTATTATTTTTCGTTAAACTCGGCCGCGTAAACGTGCGCGTAAATTACACAAAACCGAAAGTCAAAAATAGAAAATCAAATATCAATTTGAACACAACAGTGTTACAATCGACGAACTTACTTTCATTATTTTTTAAATATTCTTGTATTTATAATGTTATAAATGATTTCAAGATATTTTATTTTTTAAAATCAACACTATAAATATAGAGTTGATAATTACAGAACGAGTATTTACAGGGTGCCAGAAACTTATTGGGTGCCAGAATTATTTTAAGAATTGAAACGAGTTTGGCACCCATTTTCATATCAATTATTGTCAAGAAAAAAAAACAAATAAAAAACAAAAAATTAAAACCCGAATATTTACATCAATCAATTCTCAAATTTCTTGGCACCCATTAAATACTCTATTTGTAATTGTATCACCCCCTCAGATGATTTTTAAATTCATTGTGTTCGTATTAAGTTTTAATTTAATTTGACCTTTACTTTACATAAAAATTAATTCACATATTTCAATAACAAACGTCAGCTTCTTGAAAAATTCAAAGACACTCATGTAAACCACGTTTTCGAATTAAATCGAGGAAAAGGAAAATAACTAACTTAACAAAAAACTATTATAATATTATAATTTTATTATTAAATTATTAAAAACAGTTTATTTTCAATCTGTATTATTATTATTATTTTTATTATTATTATTATTATTATTGTTTTTTATTTTAAAAAAGTTATTAATAGTATTTTTTAGTTGGTTTCAACAAGGATAAAATATAAATAACTTTGAATTAATGTTCTAACTTAAAAATATTATTAAGAATAATTGTATTCTTATAATTATATAATACTAATTAATTTAAGGAAAAAAACAAAAAAAAATTCTTTAAAATATAACTTTGAACTTTTATTTACAGAACATGTCTCAAACAACAAAAGAAGCGATTTACTCACAATTGCCCATATATAACGTACTTGATCGATTTAGTGATGGAATGTGGAAGCTCTTAAATGAACAAAAGAAAACACTTCAAAAAATTAAAGATGAAAAGAAGCCAAGAACCAACGTTGCCCTAGAGAATCACGAAGGTGAAATATTGGTTTTTGGTCTTGTAAGTAACAAAATAGATAGTCTTGAAGAACAAATTAAAACCTTGAAAAAGCAGAATGTAAAACTGCAGACTGAAAATGAGGAAGCTGTGAAGAAAATTGAAGAGATGCGAAAGAATATCGACAGATATACATATATGGATGAATTAATCGACGACCTGGAAAAAGATTACCAAAACGATACTACACAACTCACAGAACACTACGAACAAAAACTTGCCGAAGAAAAGGAACATAACGTTAAAATTCTTGCTAAACTAACAGAGCACTACGAACAAAAACTTGCTGAAGAAAAGGAGCACCACACAAAAGATCTTATTGAAGAAAAGGAATATCGCGCCAAAGAAATCCGATCACGCTGTGACAAAAATGAAAAGAAAATTAAAATTTTGCAAAATATCATTAACCAATTAAGAGGACATCATTCTAACAACAAAGAGTTCAAATAATATACAATAAAATTGATTGTTTAATGTATTTGTTGGATTTGTTGAAAACTGGATCACCAGCAAAGAAACAAAACAATGCATATGTTTTAGGGTGCGCAACCGTTGACAAAATATTTGCTGTTTGCCCATTTTTTAACACAAAAAGATACTTTGCTCATGGTTCGGTAAAAATACCCTTTCAAGAAAAAAAGACTGAAATATCATTTTTTTCGGCAAAATTGTTGTATGGTAAAGAAAGAAAAAATAAGTTACCTAAAAATCGGGTTATTACGTAACAATAAAAATTTACTCAAAATAGATGACCAAAAAATCAAATTTTTGTCAAAAAACAATAGAAATGATAAAAATAGAATACTCATAATCAAACAAACTATATATTATAGTTTTTATTTTATTATAAATATATTAATAATTATAAGTAAATAAGTTAAATTGTATTAAAAGATCAGTTTATTATTTTAAACTATAAAAATTACTTAAACCAAAAATATTTATGTTTTCATAAAGCTATCAAATAATCATAAAGTATTTTAAATATTTGAACAAAGCCACATTATAATGTATCTATATTATTTGAAAAAAATATTCTAAAATATTGTATTTATATAAAATAATAATATTATAATATATATAATATAAATTAATATAAATATATATTCATTAAAATATATATATAATTTAAAACAATTAAAAAACAATAATAATTTTTGATGATAATATTTAGTATAAAATAATAGTTGATGATTTAATACAATTTAAATTGAAGTTATTGTATTTAAATTATATTTATAATTAATTAATATATTATTATTATAATATTTATTAATTAATTATAATTTGTTTGACTGAATCAACAATAATAACATCATGTTAATAATTAATTGGTATTTTTTATCAATTTATATATTAAAAAATTATTAACATCAAAAAACTAAATATTTAAATATTTCATAATATAATAAATAAAAGTTAAAGACATGTTATTTTTATACAAGTTAAAAATAATATTTAATATACTCTAATAAATTAAAACTTAATAACATCTTTTATTTGAATGTCTTCATTAAAATTTTGTTGATATACTTTCACTAACATGTAGTTATTCATTGACTTTAAATTTACATATATAAATCGATACTAATAATTAATAAAACAAATGGATAAATTTAATGAATTAATTGTGTTGTCAAATGTAAAAGATTTAAGTTACATGTATGTTCGTGCAATCTACAAAGATGTCAGCTTTACATTCTGTCTACATCATCATAGATGGATGTTAACAGAAAATGAAAAAAAACCATTCTTCATACAAAGAAAATGTTAAAATTCACCACAACAATTATTTGATCACAGATGAAGATCGTATTGCAATTGCTTCTTTTGAAAAAGCAAACAATATATCCAAAGATAATTATTTTTATTCAAAAGCCAATCAAACCATAAAAATCAACAAATATGATTTGTGTAAAAGTTTTTTTTGATGGACCGGCTACAATAAGAAAATACAAAACGAAATTTGAAATATTTGATAGAAAACATACAACAAAGATTATCGATCAAGCCACACCTCAAAAAAATCATATTTTATCACACGTTGTTGATGATCAAATGATTGTGGATACAACAAATGAAGATAACATCATGAATACAGATACCAGTATTACATTGACAAAGTCAAATGATAATAATGAAAAGCTCACTTTTGATGACGAAAGTGATGAATATGAAATTGATCAATTATTGTCAGATGAATTATTGACTGCAGAAAGTGTTTTCGAAGCGCAAGAAGATGAAATGTCAATAAAAATTAAAGAAGACGTTGATATAGAAAATGAACAATTAAACACTCATGAATTGTATCAGTGTGTACCAGAAGGCACCAATAATCAAATTTTGAAAGAGTTGTACACCTTTGAAGACGGAGCTTTTCTTGTATATGATAGAATTGATTACAAAGAAATTGATATAGATGCTTTTTCAGAATCAATTAGAAGATTTTCTTATGATCATGACAACAATTTTGTATTAGAAAGATATATTGTTGCACTCAATTATATGTTTAAAAGAGCTAGTGATATCACTAATACCAAAACACTTAAAAGTGTCAAAGTGATGCAAAGAAAAGTATGTGACTATGTTATACATGGTGAAATGGTTAAAGCTCACCTGAGTGCCGAACAAATACGAGCATTGAAGCGGTGTACATTGGTAAGTCACGCAACATTGAGTAGAGAATCTCTTGAAAGAGCAAATACATTGGCTCTAAGCTCGAGAACATGCAATGCACAAGTATTTAAAGCCAATGAAATAAAGAAAGAAAAACTTAAAGTTGAAAGATGTGAATATAAATGTTTGGTAATTTCAATTGACTCAACAACGAAAAATGAACAAGAAATATTCTGTGTATTATTGAGATTGGTCAAAGGAAGAAAGTGTTATTCAATGCCACTTATATTAAAACAATACAAAGGCCAAACAGATGCAAAAACACTTGCTAAATGGATTGTTGGAAAAATTGGGGTTGAACACTTATAGAATAGTGAATTGCACAACTGATGGAGCTGCTACTTGTGCGAGATTAGATGGCGGAATTATAGTTGAAATGAATAAATTAATCGGTGTAAATGATCCAACAGAACTTACTTTAATAGACAACGAAATGAAAAATTTTTGGTGTTCAGCACATCGAGTAAATTTGATGGGAGAATCACTTGAAAATGATGTTGAGATCAAAATGGTAAAAGTCTTCACACAGTGGTTTTGTCGAAAAATATACTTTCAGATTATTGTGATAAATGTAGTATTGGTCACGGATTCCACACTACTTACTCTGAAACGAGGTGGTGTTACATCTACAAAAATATTGATGATATTACAAACAACTTTGAAGATGTAAGTCGATACATTAAAATACCAGAAGTGCTTCAGAATCTAATGACCGAATTCGAAAAGAATCATATTACATTCGAAGAAGGAAGAGTATTAATAATTACGCCTACGAAAAATAAAAGTGTTGTGTGTGTCACCAATGGACAAGCTGAACAAAGTAACAATGTTGAAGAAAAATCAAAAGTTCCATTTAATATGGATGAACATTACATCAAAAATATTTTCTTTAAATCAAAGGAAGTATTCAAAATACTATATATACTTGTATCTTCTTTGCAAGAAAGTGATTGTATCTTATTTGAGTACATTGAGTGGATGGAGATGTTTACAAAATATGTCAATGTATTGCTTGATGAAATAAAAAGTGGGAATTGGATCGAATTTAAAAATATTAAAGATATTTTAGTACCAGATGACCCTTTTATGACACGAATTTGCAGAAGACTTAGAGCACAAGCACTTTTGAGGTTTCATCAGTTGTCCAGTTCTGCAAACATGTTACACGCAAGAAGATACACCAACTAAGAAGAGGGGACTGTTGATGAAAAAGCTTTTCGTGAAAACGATAATCACACTTTCTATTTGGAGTTGGTAGATTTGTTTTATTCTCCAGATGAAATGGTTAAAACGTCTGATATACCTAATTATGTATTTAAGAACGCGAAAATGTTGAATGAAAAATTCGAAATTGAAATTAACAAACTTTCTGAGTATATCTGGGATAGAACTCAAGAAGAACTAACCAGATGTGTGATGACATTAAAGATTCAAAGTGCCCACTTCATCGCAAATTAAGAAAAGTTACTGGACATCCTTTGCGATTGTCCCTTTTAGATATTTATGATGTTCTTGAAACTTTAAAACTCGACAATTTGATGAGTGTAGTCCATATTTTTGTATGTGTATTTCCCACAACCGTCGGCATCGAAAGATTTTTTTTCGAAACTTCGTCAAATGAGATCAAAAAATATGTTGTTGAAAACTGCATTTGAAAGACTGTTTTATTGTCTGGATAATGATGTGTGTTATTTGAGTTTTTAATTGAATAATATCAAGTTTTGATTGGGTTGATTATAATTATTATGAAAATAAAATAATATTAATTGTATTAATTTAATTTTCATTTATATATAATATAATAATTATAAATTGTGTTTAAATCAATATTTTAGTTGGATGAAATAAACTTCTGCAAAGATTCAACCGTTTAAAGTTTTTAATGGATCAGATACTAATTCACATAAAATTTGAATGTTGTGGTATCACATATCATTTTCAATGTTATATATGTAGTTGTTTAAATTTGAGGGGGTTTCATTTCCAAATTTATCGAAGTGAAATTATACTATATACCATGCAAACCAAAACTATTCATTTGGGATAAATCTTTCCAAGTTACACAATCAAATAATGTCACACCAAAAGAATATATATATGCACTTTTGTTATATTTATTGTTCAACGACTTATGTGCAATATATGTTAATGTGCCAATTCATTTAGTAAATGCAGTGTTATTCATCAATAAATTCTCATTTCTCATTTATAAAGTCAGTCGATTTTGCTATCACCTTATTTTAAATTCAATTCGAAACAAGAGAATGCTGTATGGCTTGATGTCTGTGTGTAATATGTTTGTTAACTGAGAATTATTTATTTTTCGTTTGGTTTTATTCTTTGATAATCATAAGACAATTATACACTGAAAAAGGTGTATAAATAAATTAATATGAATAAAAAAATTATTTTAAGCCAAATAATTTATCATTAAAAGAATATAAAATATTATTACTTATGGTTGTTTTTTAAATATCTGTAGATTGTTGTTTAATTACAAAAGTTTGATTCGACAAACAGTTATAATATTATAAATTATTATAAAAAGTATAATTATTATTATTATTTATATATTGTTATTTATTATAATAATAATATTTTATTATACTAATTTTATTACAGTAGGAGAAATGAACTAGGATCATTAGAACAATTAGGGCAACTTTAGTAAAAAATATGAAACGGTAAAAAAATACATTTTTGGGACAAACCCCTTTATAGGCAATAACATTATTTTAATAACAAAAATTCAAATAACATTTTAACAATAACAATATTCATTAAAGAAAATACCAATAACAAAATCCAAATAACAAAAAAATACAACAATTTGTTTAAATTTTAAGA